GTATCACCCGTATGAAGGTAATTCTTATTATCTGCTTGCAATGTGAACAGCTACAGTCAGGCAGACCTTCAGGGCAGGCAACTACATATCACTTGTTGGAGGCTTTGAAGAGGAAGGACACCTTTCCAAAAGTGCTTCATTCTCTATTATGGGATCCTAAATTATACCATTGGAATTTTATTTCTTGAGTCATGAGCTCTTTTCTTAATTGAGAAGAATCTGTTTTTAAAGTGCAAATACCCATGGGATAGAAGATTCATGAATCATTCCATTATAATTTTTTTAATTAATTATTTATTTATTTACTTTTTTGGCAGGGGCTGAGTTTGATGTAGATTTCTTTTTTCTTTTTTTCTTTTTTGCAGTTTTTGGCTAAGGCTGGGTTTGAACCTGCCACCTCGGGCTTATGGGGCCGGTGCCCTACTCCTTGAGCCACAGGCACCACTCCGGGGGCTGAGTTTGAACCCACCACCTCTTGCATATGGGGCCAACACCCTATTCCTTTGAGCCACAGGTGCCACCCTCCATTATATTTTAACTTGGGCACTAGCTGAGAGGGTTTCAGAGACGTTGGTTTTGTCCATCATTCCTTTTTCCAGGAATGGGATGCCCCTTTGAATGGGAAGTATGTTTCTCTGACTCCAGCTCTGTGTTTCTGGAGGGGCTGCCTAGCAGAAACTCCTTCCCTGCCCTTCTTTCTCTTTCCTCTGCTCCAGTGCTGGTGGCCAAACTTTGTCCAACCGTAGTTCCTCTCCTCGGGCCACAAGTAGTCCAGGGAGAGGTACCCAATCCAAGACGGGATAGAGTCCTTTCTTATACTTTTTCTAACTGAAGCTAATGAGAAAAAATGTTTTGTTTTGTTTTTCCTCCCTCTGGAGAATAGGTAATATGGAGGGCAGCCCACAGCTGTTCTTGGCTACTTTTCCAGTCTCTACTGATGTCTGTCTGGAAGAAGGAAGTCTTAACGCACCAGCAGCAGCAGAGACAGTGCCCTGATGCTACCTGAGCACTGGAATCCACCACTCTGTAAGGTGAATGTGCTCTCTCCTGGTTTGTTTACATGTGCCAATAAATCACCCTTCTGCCTTAGGTTGTTACAACCTGGTCATCTGCCATTGGCAAACAGAGGTCTGATAACACAAAACAAACATATTATAAAATAACACAAGATAACTCGGGGAGGAGTGCTGTTCTAGGTCCATAAATACGTGTATACGGATGGGTGGGTCAGGCCTAATTGTTCTGTGGTTGAATAGGGGTCAGTACATATTAAAGTTACCGGACGTCTTTAGATTTTATTTTGAAGTGACTTGCGAGGTAGAGCAAAATGACCAAGGTCTCTGAAAATACCAGGTAATATTGCTCTTGGGCCACAGTGGCCTTGACAGTCCCCTGGATGACTGAATTCGGGGTGAGGCTGCACAGGACGGAAGGGAGAGGAAGCACGTGCAAGGGCTGTTCTGATTTGAGACCTTAGTGCCGCAGGCCAGTCCACTGACTCAGTTTCTCCACCAAACAAGAGAAGCAACGTGTAGATTCAAAAAGAAGTTACTGTTTTGATCTATGAAAGACCTTAGGGTGACTGGCTTTATTTAAACCTTAAATTTATACCTGTTCATAAACATATCAGGTTTTGCTTTTCCTATCCTGGTGGGTTTTTTTCTTTGTTGTTGTGTTAAACTGAAATATAAAGAAGAAATGGGTGAAGACAGAAAGGTGAGATTTAATGTTTGAGGTTGTTTTTTTTTTT